TGTTATTCAACTAGCATGACCTTATTGTGCAAAGGTACTGTACAGTGTAATATATTCAAGCAGAATGTTAGATTAACATAAAATGTTATTCTATTAAAGAACATCTTCTGCTTTAATGCTTATTAATTTGCTGTTTTCTATAGTAGCGTATCTTTAAAATATTTTGTTATTAAAGTTATCATGTAAATAAACAAATATGACATAAAGAAAAATGCTATAATTTGTTTCTTTACCAAAATATCACTTCCCTTCTTCTCTTGGCTTGTAATTCAAACCAAGATAACATCCATCAGAAAATGTTAGAGGTGCACCAATACACTGGTCCGATGAACAGAAAATCCACTTAAAATGTGTTATATTCATGAGCTGTAAAGCTCTGAGGTATAATTAGTCCTTTGTTGTTGTTATTATTATACAATACCATCACATGACATGTAGGCCACATTTTTCCATGATCCATATACATTATGACAGTCCTTTCCTTTTTATTTTATTCTATTACAGCTTCTGGATCACTTCATATTACACACACAGAAAAAAGGGCTATGTTTGGGTCTGGATAGGAGATATATGGATGAATAAGAGCTAATTTTTGGAGATTTACTGTTAAAAGATCGTGACTTTATATGAAACAGTAATTTAATTGTGTATGTTCCAATGGCATTTTTTCTGAGGCTCTTTTTATTTGCACATTGGGGAAATACTGCAATAGAGAGCAAATCCTTCCAAATAATGCTTGTATGGTGGCATTTACTTCGACCCAGGTAAAAGAAGGTTTGTATGAATTGTAAATATTAAACTTGTCAATAATATCTAAGGTAGCATGGATGGAAATCAAATTTTCCAGGCCCCAGTAGAGCTGGGTTTTAAAGAAAGGGGAAAGAATATCTCTAGATATTTTGTCTAAGATGTGGTAAAACAATCTGACTTGGCATGAAGGCAAATGAGTTGAGATAAAGGATGCTATCAATATAGAACTAGCAGAAGTCGCACCAAAATCCATTACACAAAATAGAAAGATGCTGGCTATGGCTACTGTAGTAGTTCAGGGTGCTAAGTCCCTCTGAAGTTTGGAATCATACAAAGCACCCAGGGGCACACAAAATTAATGCTGCATTCAGCAAGTACACTGGTGAGTGAAGAATGACAAAACTGTTCATAATAAACTAGTTTTAAGTAAAATATTTTATTAACCAAGGTGGTATACGCACATTCAAATAATTCAGAAGAATTATCCTGTTTTTTTCCCAGTAGAAAAATTTACTTGGAAAACCCTGAACAGACACCGGAAGGACTGAGCGACTGAGTACCAGAGAGCCTATGGTGCTCATTTTAGCCTGCCAGGGGGCCCCAGAGCACACAGCCCATCATGCTTTGTAGGTTCTTCTGTCTGCTTAGAGACAGGTGACAGACAACTTACTGCTGGGTCTGTGCAGGGTGGTGTGGGGCAGCTGTGTTTGCTGAACCTGGGAATGGAATGCACAATCTATCAGGTCAGGGAATGGAGGAGATGGTTCTGCTGGGCCCATGTATGGGGAAGGGAAGAGGGTCTAATGGGGGCCTGCTGTCTAATTGGTCCATGTGCTGGGAATGCCAAGGTCTGCCAGGTCTGGGTCCAGTAGTGGTGGTTCAGCTCATTCTGGTCCAGCCTGAGTGGACCCCAGGCCCTTCAGGTCCACAGTAATACAGGTGGGGTACAGCTGTGGCTTGGTTTTGGACCCAGACCTAGACTGCTAATGTAAAGGGGAGACAGCTGCTTCCGCTTTCCCAGCCCCAAAGCACTCCAGGGGCTTGTTCTGCTCCCTACTCAACTGAAGCATTAGAGTCCAGCCAGAGTGACGTATTGTCTCCCTGCACCCAAGGAGGGAGGCAGGAACAAAGCATGCTGGGATGAGGGAGTTTCTCTCAGAAGGGTACATGCATAGCTGGTTCAGTCTCCCGGGGAAACTCTCCCAGGAGTGACTTAATTCTGGTTGTTCCCAGGTTAATTTTCTCCTGGAGTGGCCATTTTTGCTTTGGGAGAAAACTTCTGAATGTCTGCATACTTCTGTTTTCTACCAGGAGTACGATGATTCTCCTGGTAGAAAATGTTCAGTCTGCACATGGTCCAAGCTGGATGAAGACCTTAAACCCTAAAGTTATTTTACTGTGATATCAGCTTTTCATTTTTTCTGCTACTTATTGACAAGTAGATATTACACTTCAGCTAATACTAGTAAAAAGGGGTAGTTCCAGCCCAATTTTGCATTCCCTAAAGCTCAGCTGAAGTCTAAGGAGCCGCAACAGAATCAGGACAGAAATTAAGCCAGAGTGTGCTGATAACTGAATTTAATTTGTATAAACAAACAAGCTTTATTTACAATATTCCTTCACGAAATCCCAGGCTTTGACTCTGCATGTTCTGTAAAGACCCCATTTATACACATTTGAATGCCTATTTAAGACAAAAAAAAACCCGAGAGAGCTTTCCCATGGAAACCACACAGAGATGTTTTACTTCACACGTACGCCCCAAGCAAGTGTGCTAACTTTTCATAATTTACTATATTTTCTTATTGTAGCTGCATATTTTAAGAAATTTTTCTGAAGAACCAGTTCATATGTGAGGCAAACATTTTGTGTACGCTAGGAAAATCAGTGGTGTTTCAAATGTGTTACCTGACTTGTTTTAATTAACACATTCTTATCAATAACCACTTTGCCCCTATTGCACAGAGACAGTGACACTAAAAAAAATTTTCAGGTGGTTGTGATAAAAGCATGTTTGCTTGCCCTAAGTAACCCTTCTAACACATTTTTAAGCATTGCTGCTTACAAGCAGAGAGTGGATTTGCTTGCATACAACCTCCCACAAAACAAGTGTATTACAGTGTACGGGCAGGAAATAAGTCATAATGGTGCTTCCTAGTTATAATTTATTTCATTCTTTTAAACAGAAAACATGGTATTCTGGCATTGGCACGGAAACACCAAACAAAAACCCTAAGATGACAAAAATAATGTGTTTGAACAGGAGACAGCTCTCCCAAGGAGTCAAACAAAAAAACACCAACATTCTACCACAATGTGTCATCCTGAATCCTAGATATTCTCCATATTATTTCAGGCATTATAAGTCCTAGTTATACACTGTTTACTTTCATCCTCTTCAAATTAAAAGTTTACAATCATGCAATTTTGCCTGTTTTTGCAAAATTTAAATATTTTCATTTGAATTCCTTAAAATCCCTTCTGCAAATTTGTCATCTTTTGATTTTGACATTCAAAATTCTTCATTCTGAGATGTCATTTTATTTATGCTTTTTGATTTCAACATCTGCTGTACGTTTACCTTCAGTCTGTAGACTCTCAGTTATTGCTGTTTCAACAGTTTTAGAATTTGCAAAATCCAAGTATGGCCTTTGCCCATATTGCTTTACTGGGGGGGGAAATTTGTGTTGCTGATTCGCTGCCCTAATGTTGTCTTATAATAAGCATTGTATTTTAGTTTCTATCTTTTCTAGTCTTTTGCATTGTTCTTGGTTGTTTTACTATAGAACTTAGATCCTTGCAGTAAAGAAAGGTAGCTCATTAACATTAATACTGTACTATGTATTAAAATATAAGTGTCTTGCAAACTTGACTTACTGCATGCAGAGACTCCAGCTAACAGGAGTAACTGAAAAAAGCAGCCAAAACAGGGACTGCTGAACTGGAGGGGAGGAGATAAATAGGGACCAAGTTGGGGCAACCCTCTCCCATCCCCACATCTTCCTTGACCCACAACTGTAAAAGGAGGGGAACTGCATAGGAAACTAGGATTCAAGTTATACACCCTTGCTCCACTCCTCTTTTGCAATGTGACCTTGGAGAAAAACTGCAGAAGAAACAGACTGAACTGTTTTGCCGAAAGGGAACTGCTAGGGCTGAGTACACAGTCAAAAAGCTGGAGACTGAATCGATTCAGTCTTTGTAGGTTAGTCTACGCTGTGGACACTGAACCGATAGGCAAGTGAACAGACATTCACTTTTGATTCCAGAAATGTAGCCACATGTCTGCAGTTGCCCAGGCCAGAAGCTGGGGGGCTTTGGAGTACACTTCCCTGCTCAGCTGGAGCAGCCAGCTTGGGCCAAAGTTAGCCCGCCCACTCTGCAAGGTGAGGGGTGGTTTGTGGGGGAGGTGCAAAGCATCCTGGGATGCTGCAGAACTGTGAGTTAACTTGAATCTGGAGAGGATCTGCAAACAGAAGTTCAATAAACCGATTTAACCTAAATCAGTTAAGTCTGAATCTACATCCATCCAAGTTTATCTTAAACTGGCTTTGGTCATTTTGAAAGCAGTTTATGGGCACTGGAATTCTGTTGTATTACAGATTTGAACCAGTTTCCAAGCACTTATACTGGTTTATGTGTAATCTTTGTCTCTAGCCTAGGTGTTCAGAGAACTTTCAGCAGTTTTGCCCTGCACTGACCAGCTGTTTGTTCCAAATGTCTTCCCTTCCTCTTCCCCATCTCTCACCACTTCATCTCAGTGTCTCCCATACCTGTCTCATAATCTTTTCTCCCTTACCCTGTCCCTCATATCCTTCTCTTTGATGTCTCTTTTCTCTCCTCTCCTATTTTCCATTGTGTTGATCCCCTCCTTGCTAAATCAACCCACCTTCCACAAATGTGTCATGAAGCTAACAAAGCACTTGCTGTTATTATCCTATTCACTTTGCTTACATGTTACATGCCTTTCCTCACCTCATGTCTGTCTCGCTTGCTTCTTAGATTATAAACTCTTTAGGGTAGGGACAGTGTCCTCTCCTCTGTTAATACAGTGCCTACATTGGCCCTTTAATACTACTATAAAAACATGAACAATATTAAAATATCTAAGTTATATTAATATCTGTAAATATTAAAACTGTAATATAAGACAGAATGCCCAATGTGCATAATCAAATCTGTAACTCAATACTTAACAGAAGACCACCAAACACAGTGGAATTCTAGCATGAAATAACAGTCTGACTTACTTTGCTCGCTTTGCCATTTCATTGCCATCCCAGCGTGGGCTGTAAGGGTAATTCTTCTGGGCCTGGGAGTATAGCTGTCCACTATTAGTGAAGTGATAGACTGACTGAAATGTTAGAGTTGGCTGGTCTCGAGGAAAATAAAGGGGTAGGTCAACTGCAAAGATAGTAAAAAAAAAAAAAAAATGACATGAGAGAGAGACTTTTTCTTAACTTCATTGTGAAATATATCATTTCTACCTGACACTCAAAACTCATTTTAAGAAATGTTTCTAACCAGATCTTAAATAAAAAGGAAGGTGATGTGTTATTTTAATACCCCCTTTGGTAATTCTAACAAACATGTGTTCCATTATGCTGTTGTACATCCTGATTTACCCATAATGGAGGTATTTTATTTTACAAAGCAAATGGTCAGAATAAACATGTTTATCTTGCATATTTACAAGTTAATCACAGTGCTTCCAAGAGTTCAATCTGATCCTTTGTCACAAAAGAGCTTAATGTAGCGAAGAATTAAAAAAAATTTTAGCTTAATATCTACTTTCAAGAATTTTAAAATACATTCTGTTAAGAAATAAAGTAATGCTGCCCTTTTATGGAGCCTTTCATTCAAGAATTTTAGAGTGCTTTATCAGCCTTAACCAATCCTTTTGACATTCTTGCAAGAGATCCAAGTAGCAGCAACCCCATTTTCCAGATGGTCAAGCTGAGGCTTAGAGAGGTTAAATGACTCAGTAAAGGCTATAAAGTGAGCTAATTACATAATACAGAACAGAACAAAGTAATCACAATTTGCATTCATCTGTGTTAAGTAAACAAATGCAAAGCCACTGATATAAAAATGTCTTATTCATAAGCCTCCAAAAATTTGATCCTATCTCTTTTAATTCCCCTTGCTTATAACTCTAAGGGAAGGGAGCTGTTTCAAGATTAGCCAGGTCTGTTAGAAACAAATCGGCCTGTAACAGTCAGTATTCCAAACACTTATTTATTTGACCTTTTCATTGCCAAACTTTTTTTTTAAGTAGAACATTTTCTTGAGTCTCCTTTTAGTTCTATTAGCCTCCAGCAATCATCATTTTTTTTAACCGTTTTTACTCATAAATTAACCTGATCCCAAACCTAGTAACATTATAGAGGAAATTTACATCGTCTACAATAGGTGGGATTTGCCCCTCAAATCACCTAAACCGTATTTAACATCCTCAAACTATTCATTTCACTAACTTGAAAAGAGGAAAGGACACCCGAGGTACAGTAGTATGTATCTCAAGTTTTTCAGTCATTCAGCCATTTCTAACAAGACTACAATAATCTGGTAAAACTGTAGCTCATTCATGTGAGTTTATGGTCTAAGACAGGGTTAGGCAACCCCTGGCACAGGTGCCAGAGCATGGCAGCCAAAGGTATTTTGCTTGGCACACACACCTTGGGACAAACAATGGGGAAGGGGCTGGACCTGCACGGCCACAAGGATTGGGCCCCTCACAGCTTCCCTGCCATCCACCTCTGGCACACTAACATCTTACAAGTCAAGGTTGTGGGTGCTTTTGGCACTTTGCCCAAAAGTATTGCCAACATCTGGTCTAAGAATTCTTAATTTGTGATGTGGCAGTTCTCCCTAATGAGAAGTTGAGCATGAGTCAATAAAGTGGGACACAGAGCCAGAAGAGGAAACAATCACAGACTGGAGAATCACTTGGAATGAGAGACACTGGAAGTGGAAAAAGCTTGTAATATCACCTAACCCATATCCATGGCATAGCACAGTTGTTCCCTCCCATATATTTGCTAGTGCTATGTATATGACATTTTTAAATGTTTTAAGGTGTGAGGCTTCCAGTATTTCCTTTGCCTACAAGATACCAATGTCAGAAAGATTTTTCTGGTTTTCAGCCTAGGTTGTCTTTCTCTCAGTTTGATACTATTGTTGCTCTCCCTTCTTGGTTTACATACTTTTTGAATATTTGTCCTCTTTTATCCAAGCCTTAGCCCCATATCCACAAAATCAAGCTCTCCGAGCACAGCAATCCATCTGTTCCACATGTTAGTGAAAATGAGTTGCACAAAACTGAATGTGGTATTCCTGCTGTGGGCCCAGACAAAAACAGATCATTTAAAATATTAGTGTCTGGCAGCTTAGTGACCCAACGTCTGAGTTCTATTTTGTGATAACGCTCTGCATGAACTGGGGATTCAATCCACATGGCAACTTACTTGATGCATTTTAGAGATAATGTCATGAGCTGAGTTTGATCAATTTGGATGCAGACCTTTGCTGCATTAAGGAAAAAGACAAAGATTAAATATTATATCAAAGTCCTCCTTGTAACACTGTTAAAGAATAATAATCCCTGAAAACCATTGCCATACAATAAAACATTTATCAGCTAGCAAGCTATTGGTTCCTCCTGTAGAAAGCAATGTAAACCAGGGGGACTGGATCTCAGTTTTGAAGTTGTAAATGTACTTTGTTCTTAGTACTGTGTACTTACACTCCACTTAGCGTAGTTATTATCTACCTTTTCTGTTACAACAATTCCTTGTGGGAGGTGGGGGGTAGAAAAACAAACGGTGTACATTTGCCTGTTTAACTGAGCATAATGGATAGCAAACTTTAGTGATGAAGTTAAACAATATCAGCTCTACGTCTTTTATTTATCTTCTTATTGGAAGCATTTCAGTTCTTTGTTAATAGTTTCAAAATCAAGCTATGTCAAAGAGTCAGTAATAGTGTTTTTTTCCTTCAATTAACTAAACCAAACGCCTGTTTTTTAAGAAAAAGCCTCTTACACTAGAACACTGGTTCTCGATCTTTTTAGACTCTGGGCACCTTGCGATAGGCTTGAGGTACCCCTTGGAAAGTGCCTGCTTATAAATTTCATTTTTTGACTACAGAAAAATATTAGAACAATTCCTCTGTTGCAAAGAACTCGGAAAGACCCTAACAGGTAAGAATGGTTTCAGCACTCTGGGATTCCTATTTTAAATCCTTGGGCACATCCACACATGCAGGTACATGCACTTGCAGCAGCAGCACAGATTTGTGCTGGAGATTTGTGCCTCAGCACATGTGCCTGAACATGCACTTTGGTGGGGGCAAATTGTGCCACTTGGGGCAAACTGACCCTGCCCAGCTCTTCGGCCAGGGGGAGCTAGAGGCTGGGGCCAGCACCTGTGGTGGCCTCAGCAATATAAAAAGCTGCCCTGGCAAGCAGCTCAGGGCTATTTGCCTTCAGGACCTTCTGAGACCCGGCCAATCGGTATCTGGGGACACTAGCCCCTTGTGCCAGCTGTGGACTGAAGCAGCTCTACCCTACAGTGGCCCCTACACCCTCCACTCACTGCAGCAGTCTGGCTGTGACCTGGTGGCCCTTATGACAACATCCGCCCCTTGGACCTGTGGCCCCCTGGCTTCACGCCTGCCAGACCGGGACGGGGACTGCACAGCTGCCTGGGCTGTGATATGGGCACTGTAGCAGAGCTGCCTACACTTCTGGGCCAGCTGCCAATGGGCCATGGTTGCACAGTTGGTCTTTGGGCGGCACTATTTATTTATGTATTTAGCTAATACAAATCCGCAGAGCCAAGCAACAGTTTCCTCGTTAACTGAGTTCAAAGTTATTAATCTGCCTCAGTTTGTAGAGGGGATACTCCTCAATAATGCATGACACAGCATCTCTCTGCAAGCACAATGGGTTAGCACTGAGGCCCCAGTGGTGGAGGTTGGCTTCACAGGGACCTTGACCCAGCGTTCCCTCTAAGCTGCATGGTGTGCGCACACCACGCAGCTTAGAGGGAACACTGCCTTGTCCTGTCCTGAACCTGTTTAGCAGAGTCCACTCTTGCCATGTTAAGTTCAAAGCCAGCAAGTTGACTAGTGGGGTTTGTCATAAGGAATTTATTTGTGACTTCTTGTGTTTCCCATTCCTTGATTGAAAGGGTATCTGCAGACAGGTCCTGATTGGAGAGGTTGCTCCATAAGGGGCGCTGTGAGGCAAGGCAGGCTTTGGGTGGACTAAACACATCATTGTAAAGTGGTAGGTGAGATGTGGCATGAGTGGTATTGGGCCTGGGCAGGTTCATCTACCTGGGTCCCACCACTTGCCTCACCAGCAGGGATCCTGGTGTTTCCTGTTTAAAAATTGCAAATTCTCTGACAAATAAAACCCAAATTCTCTCATTAAAATACCCCAAAATATCACATTCTTTCACAACTGAAATGAAACTTCACTATATAGATACAAACATACATATTATATATATAGGGGAAGAGAGAGAAAGAAAGAGAGATCAGTTGTTTTATTGACATAGTTACAATTTTAAAGCAAGTTGGAAGACTACCAGTGCCTTGTTCATAATAATAAAATATATTCTAAATATCTACGCATTTTGGTGTTTGCTTCTGGGTTATCGCGGGGCCCCTGGCATGGCTTTATAAGCACTTGTGGTGCTCTGGCCAAGTGCCGGATGACTGGAAGAGGGCCAATGTGGTTCCTATCTTTAAAAAAGGGAAGAGGGAGGACTTGGGCAACTATAGGCCTGTTAGTCTTACTTCAATCCTGGGGAAGTTCTTTGAGAAGATTATCAAGGAGCACATCTGTGATGGGCCAGCAGCTGGGATGATGCTCAAGGGTAAACAGCATGGTTTCATTAAGGGCAGGTCCTGTCAGACCAACCTGATTGCCTTCTACGATCAGGTCACAAAATCACTGGACACAGGTGTCACGGTGGATGTAGTCTTTCTGGACTTCAGGAAGTCTTTGACACTGTCTCCCATCCCATTCTCATTAAAAAGCTAGGTGACTGTGGCATTGATACCTATACAGTCAGATGGATTGCAAATTGACTGAGGGGTTGTACTCAGAGAGTGGTGGTGGACGGGTCATTTTTGACCCGGAGGGAAGTAGGCAGTGGGGTCCCCCAGGGCTCGGTCCTCAGGCCTGCACTGTTCAATTTCTTTATTAAGGACTTGGAGGATGGGGTGAAGAGCAGTCTGTTTAAATTCACAGACAACACCAAGATTTGGGGTGAGGTGGGCACGCTAGAAGGGAAGGACAGAATACAGCAGGACCTGGACAGGTTACAGGGGTGGGCAAATGAAAATAGGATGGGATTCACTACTGACAAGTGCAGGGTCCTGCACTTGGGCAT